CAAAAAAAAAAAATCAGTGTCTCTCCATGTCTGACTCATTTGAGTTAAGTTGGGCAAATTCTGCTGGTGTGTCGCCATTAAGCATCAAGGCACATGCTGCACAGGCCGACTTTTGGAGATGCTTTTGACACATCGCCATCCTCAGGTCAAGGGTGCAGGATGACGTGGGGCTTCCGTGCAATCTTTCACACACCCTCCTGTGTGTGCGTATGCGTGTGTGTGTGTGTGTGTGTGTGTGTTTGTGTGTGTATGCGTGCGCGCGCGCGCAGCAGTTCCACCACCTCGCCAGCCGGTCGCAGGCCGGCCCGCTCATCATTGTGGCTCGGCTGTGTTTCTAATTGACACTTTAATTGGCGGTTTTGAATGCCGCCTTTTAGGTGGCTAATTAATTTATTTTGCCGCTGTCATTAAGGTTAAAGCAGCATCTGATCTCGGCGAATACACTTTGCATACATCTGCATTATCATTATGCGGCACATTTTTTTTTTTTTTTTTTTTTTTTGGGGGGGCGGTGTTTTTTTTTTTGTATTGCTGGCTCTCATTTCTTTGTCTCAGTTTTCTAGCGGTCCAAAAAGAAGGGGGGGTAAAAAAATCTGAGATGCAGGCTCCATTAGAATGTTCATAAAATCGCAGTAAAGGCAATCAGACAGTCTTTCTCTGAATATTTTAAACATCGGCCATGTAAAATTTATGCCTAATTTGAATACTTATTAGCCGGCTGATCTCGGCTGCAGTCTTGAGTTTCTTAGTCCGGGATTCAGCTCTGGATTGGATGTCACATTGTGCAAGTCTTGAACACCCCTCCCACAACTCCTGACTGCCACCTCCCTCCCTCCCTCTCTCTCTTTCTCTCTCTCTATTCTCTGCCCCCCCCCCCATTGCATCTTCCTCGCCTCCATCAGTGCGGAGCGGCGCCGTGTTAAACAGGGGCCTGTTTGTTCACAAGCGGGCCTCTTCCCTGTTTGCTTGTGTCCCAGGCAGCTGTCGCCCTGCTCTGTGTAACAGCTCAGTCCTGTTTGTTCTTTTCCGCCCGGATCCTGTTTATCCTGGCCGTGGACATCCTTTAAGACCTGTCCTCTATCAGCCTCTCGTCAAACACACACACACACACACACACACACACACACACGCACACACACACACACACACACGCACACACACACACACACGCGCGAAAGGACATTTGCACAGCGCCATTAAAAGAGAATTTTTACTCGGCCAGAGAAGATGGTGACACAAGCCTTTGGCAGCACTCGGTCGGTCGTCCTTTGTTTGCTTTCATCAGTGGCTCGATTCCTCAACAGCTCAGTCCTGTTTGTTCTTTTCCGCCCGGATCCTGTTTATCCTGGCCGTGGACATCCTTTAAGACCTGTCCTCTATCACTCTCTCGACACACACACACACACACACACACACACACACACACGCACACACACACACACACACACGCACACACACACACACACGCGCGAAAGGACATTTGCACAGCGCCATTAAAAGAGAATTTTTACTCGGCCAGAGAAGATGGTGACACAAGCCTTTGGCAGCACTCGGTCGGTCGTCCTTTGTTTGCTTTCATCAGTGGCTCGATTCCTCTTCCACTTTGATGTGGAACTCGAGAGAATGAAAATATGCCACGGTTCGATTAATGAGAATAATGACTTCTTTAGCTGTGCGTATATTTATTTACAGTGAGAGTGTTGAGTGGTGTCCTCTTTGCCCCTGCAAAGGTAGTGAGCGGTAAATGCAAAGGGGGGAGGGGGGGGAGGTGATAAAACATTTATTACGAGAGAGAGAGAAAGAGGGAGAAAGGAGCTAATATGCATAATTTATGCTGTTTTAGCACAATCATTAATGATAGTGGTGATAAATTCATTTCCCCTTTCCGTTCTTTTCTCGCTGCTTTTCAAATGGATGCAGAGAGAATTCATTCCAGATCTCTTCTGGGTGTTTTTCTCCTTTTTCAAAATGTGTTGATTGCCTCTTCTTCTTTTAGTTTGTGTTCTTCGGTGAGGTTTGATGAAGGAAAGATTTGGGCTAATATTTGGCAAAAGTATGGGATGGTTTGGCCCCGCCTCTTCCTCTTCTTCCTCCTCCGTGCTGCCAAAATGGTGATGAGCTTTTGCGTCCTTCGACCACTTTGCTCCTTCACATGCCAAACTAACAAAAATAATAATAATAATCATAATAATGCTGCAGGGTCAAGATGGAAACAATATTTTCGGAGTGCCTGTCGTAAAGATGATGGCAAGAAATGACGTCCGTTTTAATGGTGCCATAATTGTCCCGGGCACGTGTTTGCCTTGATTTCCACCAATGATTCTCTTTTATATTAATCTTTAATTTATGCCGGGATTTTATAAACCATGTTGAGTTGCCCCCCACTCCTTTGTCAAATATGACCAGGACGTGGCTCTCTTTGTACTGCTTCATTTCCACAATGAATGCATAATTGCGCCTCCTGCATCGCACCCTCCTCCCTCTTCTTTAAATGCTTTAATTTGCAGAGGGAGGCTGTAAGGATAATGGCTGCATTAAAAAAAAAAAATAAAAAAAAAACTATATAGGATGGAAGAAAAAAAAAATGAGAGAGGGGGTGCAAGGGTAGAATGGTAAGAAGAAGAGCCCTAACCGGTGCCTCTTCATCACTTCTAGGTTTTAAATCATGATGATGCGGGAGTCGGCCACAGAGACAATAAGCAACAGTTCAATGAGTCAAAATGGAATGAGCACCCTAAGCAGCAGCCAATTAGAGGCTGGCGGTAGAGATGGCAGATCAAGCGCTGGTGACACGAGCGGCAGCCGAGTAAGCACAGTCGAGCTGCTGCGTCTGCGACAACAGCAGGTAAGTTGTGTTGCCCCCCCCCCCCACCCACCCACCCTGAACCCCCACTCCTCCTCCTCCTCCTCCTCCAATCCTCCAGCTAGCTCGAATCACCCACTCGCTCGCTTGGCTTTTTACCCCCATTCGGACTTTTGCGTTCGTTTGGATGGGATTCTCCAGCTTGTTGAGAGTTTTCTTTTGAATTGACTTTGACCTCGTAGCGTTTCGGAAGGTGTCGTCGGGCTTGGAGCGAGGTGGCGTGTGCGTGCGCGCGGGTGTCGGAGTGGCACTGGGGAGGCTCGCGCGCGGGCGCCGTATGCAGCGCAGCGTCCACCAGGGGGCCTCCTGCCTCGGCACTACCTCAGAGCGACACCAAGCACCAGTGGCGATTGAATCTGAGGACTTGGTTCATGCATGCATTTGCTAAGTCTATGTGTGTGTGTAGACAAAAAAAAAAAAAGGATACATTTATGTTGTCATCTAATGACTTGCATTTCATTCTCCAACGCTTCTAAATCGTGCCTCGTCGTCCAGCCGAGTGGGTGCGCGTTTCGGGGTGTTTTTGAAAGTCAGGCGCCAGCGGAGTAAAAGAGTCAAGTGCCCCTTGTGTCTCTTCATGGTGAATGATGGCTTTGACAGTTTGCCAAAAGAGCAGCGGGAGTTACGCTCACGGGGGCGGGGAGGGGGGGGGACGGGGGCTCGTGACATACCCCTCACCCCTTCCTCCGTGGCCCGCTTCTGCAATCCGGCGACCGCAAGTCGCCATTTATCACCGCGCCGCCACTCTTTCGGGTCCGCGCACCTGATTGGGGTCAAGCAAACTTCTCGTAACAAAAGGACACAAATGGCTTTAAATGTCTAGTGAAGTCTCAGCGATGGACTACGAGCTTGTTCCGGATGTGTGCGTGTGACAGTGAGAAAAAGAAAAAGGGAGGTGGGAGGGGGGGGGGGGGACAGGCCAGGCCTTCTTCCAAACCAGAAAGAGACACATTGAAATGAGCAGTCCGGCTAACAGGTCTCTGGAGGCTTTTTAAAATCTTCACACACACGCTCGGCACAACGAGGTCCAGCGCTCCAGACAAAAGACGGAGGCGTCTCTGCGCATTTGCTTGCATTCTTGCACACTGCTTCGTTGCAAGGACTGCACTTGAGAGTGAATGACAGCACGCGTGCAACCGTTGAAGGGTTTGCCAGGAAGGAAAAAAAAAACAACCTACAACTGTTTGAAAGGAAGGCTGTTGTTGGCTCTAATTTTGCTCCGAGATTTGCCGTGACATTGAGTGGTCCGGTGGGCATAGGAAGCTGCAGTCTCTCATCACGCTGCTGGAGGGATGATTAATAATAAGCGCTGATGAATTCGACCCTCCCCTGTCCCTCTGGGTTGTGCCATTACCTAGCAGCTTTCCCAAATACCACCTGCAGCTATAATTAGAAAAGCAGCATCTTCAGGTCTCTCGTATGAGATTGGACCAAATGCCTCGTAGGACACAGATCAGCGACTTGGAATATTTTGCGTTTGTAACCCCCCCACCCTTGCCCCAAACAATTGCATGCGCGAGGAATCAGTGCTTGCAAATCAGGCGCAGCCAAAATAGGAGAAACTCCTCTGTGCAGTCAAACCTCTTCCCAAAAAAATAAAAATAAAAAATAAAAATCGAGTAATACTGTATTCATAAAAATAATAATAAATAAATCAAGCCTTCCGACCGACGGAAATGAAGCATTTTTTTTTTCAAATTGTGGCCTTTGCCATGTGAAAATGATATTCGACGACATTGCAGTGTCAGTGCGAATTTGATTCACTGTTCAGCCCGATTAAAGTAAATATATGATTTAGTTGATATCGACTGAATCTGAAAGCACAAGTCACAGCATGAGTGTGGACTTTTCAATTCAATTTTCGTTTGATCTCAGCTGGTGAGCGGAGTCCGCTAATCGAGTCAACTTTGTGGTTGATAACAACAACAACAACAACAAAAACTCTCATCTATGGATAAATATATGGTTTAGTTGATATGGACCGAATCTGAAAGCGTCGTTCAAGTCACAGCCTGAGTGTGGAATTTTCAATTCAATTTTCGTATTGGATCTCAACTGGTGAGCGGAGTCCGCTAATCGAGTCAACTTTATGGTTGATAACAACAACAACAACAACAACAAAAACTCTCATCGATGGATCTGGATATTAAGCACCGTGTCCGCAATCAAATTTGCCGCCTCTAATTTTCTCCCGGGGGTTTCACCACCCGCCCCCGCCCCCCTAAAAGGTTGCCTAAATAGAGCTAATTTGATTTCAGATCAACGATTAGATTCCTACTTTATCTGATTGCAATTTACCAGCCAGCTGCGGAAATGCATCGGCGCAAATGATGAATGTTGCTCGGCACTAATTGCCCCGTTCTTGTGATCACCGTGAAAGCAAAAAAAAAAAAAAAAAAAAGGCAATAATGTAATCCCGACCTCGGGTCGATTCATCATTGACCATGCGCGATGTCGCGATGCGGCGCTGTATGAATATGCGGGCATTGATCTCTGAATTTGGATATCGAGATGATGAGGCTCTTAGTTGATTACCTTGGTAATCAGGATGGATGAGCCGATCCGGGTTTGGGGGAGTACTGCCCCCCACCCCACTGGGAACGGTCGGCACTTATTGATATTCACAGCTCAATGTGGGCCCCTGGCCTATATTGTGGTCAGCTGTTTGAGCCGAAGGCCTACTTAACGGCCTGCCCACCGCCAACCAGACTTGTTTACCTTTCACCCGCTCGATTCCGATTTTCACGCCGTGCGGCGTTTTGACGTAAATTCCGAGAGCAGCGCGACATCATCCCTTACCCATGAGCACCGAGGCAATGGTCCAGGTTGGCGGTAACAGCAATTAGCCTGCCTTCCCAGTTTGTTTAGCTGGCGGCAAATGGTCAGGATGAGGAATTTTGACAGCAGGTAACGGCTAATTTGTCGGCTTTTGGGGGCAGAGTCAAACCCGCCCCCCAAATGTAACGTAATTGCGGTGAATGCTTGAGTGTGTATCTTTGTACAAGATTTTTTTTTTCTCTGTTCTGCAAAAAATAAAAATAAAAAATGCTGACATGCGTTGTTTCACGATTGTCACCTCTCACAAATAAGCCTCAAGCTTCTTTCCCTTTCTGCCCTTCACCTGCCTTTCTTTCTCTTTTTAGCGCACGCACACGCTCGCGCGCGCAAGATGCAAATCTGTGCTTTGCCCTTGAGCATAATTTAAAGGCCTAATCACCCAGACTGTCCCCCTTTGGATGCGAAAAGGAAAGGAAAGGAAAGGCATGGCGGGGAGGCTGGCGTCTCATTTGCACCCTTACACAAAGAAGCTCATTAGGTTTATCTTTAAGGCCCGAGATTGCCTCACTCCGCTGTGTAAATAAGACGGCGTTGGCCCCGGCTTGGGTGCATCAATCAGCTCTCGGGGGCAGGAGAAAGAGCTCCACCTGAAATATGTTCCGTTTCATAAACGTGTCGCTGAAAAGGAAGTGGCATACGTCTTTGTAGAATTATCGCCCCGCTCGCTGAAAAGACACTTTGGGTGTCCGACTTATTTACAATGGGAGCCATCCTTCTTTCTCTTCCGAGGCGAGCTATCGGCAGACTGTGCCCCCCCTCCCCACAGGATAGTACGTACGGGACGGTGACATATACGCCCCTCCTGCGATGACACTAAAGATATACGATGTGAATGACAGCGGGGTAGGGTGTGTGTGTGTGTGGGGGGGGCGTTGACTGTTTGCGCGGCCTTCCCCCGGACAAAACAGCCGGCCGTTCTCTTATCTGCGTCGATGCCGCCGCTTCCTCCCCCCCTCGTACCGCCGTCCCCTTTGATTCCTTCCGACCCGGCCCGTCCATCTCTGTTTAAGGCACATTACACGTGGCCTCCTGAAATTTACAGTGGCGCTCTCCCAGTAACTCCATTTCGCGCCGGCGTCTCTGGAGAGCGTGGCGAAATGTCAGGCGCTGAGGCTTGAAAGGGAGACAAGGGGAAAAAGGCAGAGAGGGAGGATGGGAGAAGAGGACATTAAAAGCCAGAGAGACGGAGGGAAATCTGCTGGAAATAAACACTTATGGGGCATTTTCTGCTCAAGCAGTCAGCGGCCGCCGCAAAGGCGACTGCAGGTAAGGGGAAGCGGCGGCGCAGTGGGTTGGCTCGAGTCAGAAATATCACACGCGGTAAGCGTGGCCGTCCGTCCTTTAACTCCCAAAGACGTTTTTAAACGGCTTTTCAGACTTGGTCCAGAATTGGCTGGTACTGAATTGAGTTACTTGGCTGGACTGGATTGTTGTTTCTGGGAGCAACCGATCCAAAACCGAGTGCAATTTAGTCTCTGAAGAAGATCAGGAGTTGAGTAGTTAAACAAGGCACAACCACTGTTACCTCAGATAAATCCGCTTTATGGAGATATTTCATGACCAATTATTTTTATTCTTGCAAGTTTTTAATGATATTTTTATATTACTACTATAATGGTACGCATATAGACCCTTGTGGAATTCCGCAGTCGCTTATAAAGCATATGAGACATTTTGCTTTTCGACGCTAAACCGATCGCATTTCTTTCCTCTCTCTCCCGCGTTTAGGCCGTCGACAAATGAACTCGGCCGGGGGGGTGAACCGCCGTCCGTGTAAATAAAAGGCGGCCATCCAAGCGGTCCCGCGCCGTGGCCCGATAGCCACGCAGTCTGCTGCCAACCTGCACGCCGAGCGGGATCAATGGTCACTTCACAACTCATTTCCTTTTACGCCTCCCTAACCGCCCCCGCTTCAGCAGCGGGGAAATAAATGGCCGCCGGATCTATAAGTCCACTCGCACGAGGCGTACTCTCTCCGAAAAGCAACCTGGCTCAATACCCTCGGCCATAAATTATTCGGCCGGGTAACGACCGCTCATTGTTTGTTGCCAGTCCCCTCTCGTCGGTGTTCTCGCCACACACGCGCATCCTGGACGTCCACCGGTAAATAACTGGTTGCACGTAAAGTGGAGAAAGTGATGCGT